GTGTATGTGCGTGCGTGTGTGCTTGTCCGGAATTAGAGCCTCCTATGAGGCCCAGCAACAAAGCCACTATATTGTCAGTCCTGGAATCACGAACCCCTTCGACCCGAAGCTCCGAAACTTTCAAGACAGCTGTTGACGGTACGAGCAGCTGTGTAAAGTTTTTCCATATTACCGGGTTTTCCGCTGCTTATGTCGGGCTTCCTGGGGGTTGGTTTGGCCTTACTTTCTGTGGCCTGAGGTCTTTTGAGCAAATGACCGTGAAAAAACCGTTTGGCTATATAAAGGGCAAATGACCGTGAAAAGCCCAATCGTGAAATTCACGCCCCCCCACCCGTGAAATTCACGGCCCCGTGTGGCCCATGTGTCTTCTGAACCTTGGCTGTGTGTGAAAATTGTCGTGTTGCGTGAAAAAAAAGAGAAACCTTAACTTCACACCCTAATTACCCTAGATACACTAATTTAAGTACACAGCCGTTTGTGTATAAAATATGTACCGACCCCTACATAGCGCCTTTGTCTGTAAGATCTTGGGTCGCACTTAATGCGGTTGGGTTGATGGTGTTTTCTGTCTTTGTAAGTTTAAGGGGTTGCAATTATCCCGCATAGCTCGCTGGCGAATTCAAGTTCGAAGGATTTGCAAGCACTAACATTCCCTGCCCTAATAATTATTGTAACACAATGAGCCCATCCTGCCGTTTTAGATACATGCTGTACCGGGTGCACTGATTTATCGGGTTGGATCTTGTTTTGACCAGTTAGATTCAAAGTCATATAGAGATGAATAAACAAATAAGTGTGTGTATATATATATGTACAGTTAGATAGCAGGTAAAAACATAGTAAACTTAAGTTGGCTCTGAAAACAAACCCATCATTCTCCTTTTCTCGGACCCTGGGTAGGGAACTTTCTCAAAGGGTTCGAACACTAAAAGATCATTGATCCGAAGCCTGTACCCAAACTCCGAATGATCGAGTGTAGCTTCCATATACTGAACCCATGTATATATCTACACCAAAGTGACAAAGCAACATCCTCGGGTTGCAATGTAGCAAAATCCTAGACTCCGAATGTTCCGATGAACCACCACAGCTTAGGTAGTGCTAAGCTTGAACTTCACCTTTAGACTTACTTCATTTGATATATATCTAACGTCCCATACATATATATATATATATGTATATACAGAGAGAGAGAGAGAGAGAGATTGAGACAATATATTCTAGCCCTTACAACATCGGTTGACCCTTATACTCCTTATTCCTTATAGCCCTTAAACTTTAGTCGAAACCTCCAGCCCTAGCACCACAAGCTTGAAAACCCGAGGATTCTGGATCCTTAGACTCCCAGGTGTAAATACTGCATATGCATACATCATTATGACGTATATTTGGCATCATAATAAATCTACCCGAGTTGCATCCAACTTAAGACCACAGTAAGTAAGTGTTGCAGGGCTGTCGTTGTGCAGTACCGGCCCCGTACGTGCTCTTATCGATCAGGCTTGCTTAATGCTTGGTGTCTAATGTTCGGGCAAATGTTCTAAAAATATGTGCAGCCAGGAATGCACATATATTCTGTGCATGTTGCGGGGTGCTAGCACGGGGATCCGAGCTTAGACCATTCCTTCCAAAGGTTTAGGAAGTTTAGGGTTCAAGATATACGAAGGGTTTGTGGTTGGGCACTTAAGTCTTATACAAGGGTTTCGTAGGAGGTTAACTATATAAGTATCTGTATATAATTATAGAGGTGAAAGTAGATCTCGGTCGTCTCCGCGATGGCCCTCGACCTGCTACAGACTTATGTGCTCAGGAGGCGCTGCCGGGAAAGGGTTGTCTAGTGCTGACCCAAAGAACTGAAGGGCTAAAGGCCCCAAACACCCGGACCCCAGAATGCTACGAATATCCCTACGTACCTGAAGTTAAGGCTCCAAATATATTTAATTCCCTAGCCCCCAACCCGAAGTCCTGAATTATGTTCGACCGGGGTCCAGCTAGGGGTGCTCTTGTTGCTGAGGAATAACTGTAGAATGCTCCTAGTAAAATCCGAATTTGATTGTTTGATAACGTCAGCACCGTCTAGGCTACTTACACTATTTGTAGGCACTTTACAGTCCTTGATTCTGACAGAACAAATGCTTCTAAATTGCAGGAGTCTTACTCAATTTCATTGGGGATGCGGTTTGGATTGGGATCCCCTTACCTCTAGAAGCCTGCATCATCAAGCCACCTCATGGGGCTAGCCAGGCCGAGGACGCCCCAATTTATACAGCAGCTAGAAGCAATGTGTTTCTAACATGGGGCCCCCTAAAATTAAGCGAGATATTTCGATTGGGTGGACTGTGATCGCAGTGCTCATGCAAGCAGTTAACATGGTCTCGATCGAGTGCACCAGTCAACTTCAGGAATCATGTGTTGGATCTGTTAGAATAACTTGTATTAATTTTCCCTTCATTGAATATTTGGTCTACATATAAACCATAGAAAGAAACCCTCGGCCTGCAGCTGGATCTTGGAGCCGCTGACCATGGTTGTGGAGATTGCTGGAGATGGTGCGCCTGGGATTGTTGGGTTCGACATCATATATCGGAGCCGGGTTCGTGGTTGAGGGTGTCTGGGTCGCTAATTGGCCAATGCTGACTGTGAAAGCATGCACGGTGCAAGTTGGGTCCTTCGATTTTGTGGCAGGTACGGCTTTGGGATGTGCGGCACAACTCCTTCCCAGCAGGTGCTACCAACCCTGCAGCTGGCTTTGTGTTTTTCTAGCAGGGCAGGGCTTTGTTCGGGGTGATCGAATGCTGATCGAAGCTTTAAATAGGGAACCAAGGTGTTTTAAGCTCCTGGGGACTCGTACGGAGTTTCAAGATGTGCTTTCATTGGCTGTGCACTGCATGATCGACTCGACGCCTCGTGCATCCAGCGAAATTTTGGAGGGGCTCTGGTGTGCCATTGCATGATCACATACTTCGATGAAGCTTTTGTCTCATATCGACGATCTTCTGCAAAAAACTTAGCATCCTTGCATGAAGCAGTTTATTTGAGCATCCTAGGCTGAAATCTTGTGCCCAGATATAGCCCTTTGGTGCAATGCCGGCAACTTTGAGTCCGTCTGCAATCGCTTCTTTGGTAGACTGCTACAAGGAGCAGCCACTCTTGAAACATGTGTCTTCGGTTGCAAGGCTTTGGACTTGTTGAGTTTCGATGTTGGAGCCCCATGTTTGCAAACCAAAATGTTGTTGAGGTGGGCATGGGTTTGGTTGTGGATCACTCCGGCCGCCTCTTTACTGCCGGCAAGAGGAAGTGTTCCTTGAAGGATCTTGCTCAAAACGAAGATGCTACCTGGAAGCAACCTTGAGCATAGTCAGTACATGACCTCACAGCAATGGCCCCGAAGTGTATGCAGTGAGGTGATCTTTGCCACAATGAAGGGGTGCACGAGTCCCAGACAGAGTGCCCATTTGATATCAGCTGCAATCTGTGCTTTCTACGACTCGGAGAAGCTTTATCCGCCAGGGCTGAGGTCCGACATGGAATGTGTAGAGCAGTGGTCACTTCGCATGGGGGATGCCATCAAGAAAATGGTGCTTTGGTGCAATTACAAGACCTCGATCTAGTGCTTAGATTCGTGCAATCTAGAATATGTCCCTATTAATAATTCCCCTTATAAGTTTAATTTGGTAAGTCCAGTTTATCGTGTGTATCCCCGGCAACAAAGCCCCAAGGTTGGACGTTTGAGACGGATCATGAAGAAAGCGAAGAGCAGTAAGCTCAAGAAGCTTAACACCCTTCGAGCCCGAGTAGATGCTTTGGGCCTGCCTGGTCTTGAGACTCGGCCAATTAATCTGACTGCCACATTACAAAGCCTCCTAGGCGCAACCCGTCTCGAACCCTAAACCCTTGCTCGAACCGCGACACCCAGCCCAGGAGCCAAAGGACGGAGGACCAGCCGAAGATGACTCAGATGATGAAGATTCCGAGGACGGCCAGGACGGCCATGGAGATTTCCAGGACCTGTCAGTGTTGGGGTCTTCGAGCGCTGCTACGTCGTCGTGTAGTGCAGCGCCCTCGAGCTTAAGTAGGAAGGATAGCTTGCTCAGTAGGCTAGCTTCGCAGCTTGGGAAGTGCAAGCTCGTTGATGATGATGAATCCACGAAAGCTCCGAGTACCCCATCATCTGGTTTATCTATGACGTCCATCTTGCGTCGTGTGAAGAAGAACGAGGTCCAGAAAACACAAGCCCCTGTGCCACATGTCTTTGCTGGGAATGGCAAGAACTCGGGCAAGGTGGTCACCGACCTTCCTGAATATGCCCCTTAGATTTTATTCAATGTGAATATTAAGCCATCTATCTATGTATGTGTAATGCATACTCTCACAATTCTTACTTAGCTGTGCTTTGTGTGCTTTGGCCCTCGACTCAGGTTCTGGACAGCTTACTGTAACTCTGAGCAACAGAGCGATCAGCCCTCAACCCCATAAAGCCTAGGAGAAAGTGCAACGGCCAACACAGGAACAAACCCTCCCTGGAAGTATACCTCGTTCTTCCTTTCAACTGTAGCCTGCTATAAAGGGTGCACCTTTCCAGTCTAGATCGAAGCCGCCACCAGGAGCCAGGAGCCCTAAATCATTCAAGAATGTTTACAACCGAGTTATTGCTGTACTTTCTCTGCATTAAAAAGGCCCCTCCCTGTAGGCTCATGCTGCTCTATATAGGTACTAGCCATAAAGGATAATTCGACGGATTTTCCCAATTCTTCGGTAAAGAGAGTGTGCTCAAGATAGACCAAGGTTCAAGCTGGGCTACTCAAGCTACGACTCGAAAAAGCACCGGAACCGGTTGCTGTGAGTGAGCAGTACCTCGCGGCACATGATGGTGACGACGATGACGAAGAGGCTGCTGCGGCGGCCTTGCCAAGTGTTGGTGCGGCTAAGGAAGCTGCTGCTCCCAGGTCTGGGTTCTTGAGTCGCTTCTTAAAGAAGCGTAAGGTTGACAAGGGGAGTCAAGATGAGGCCACGTCGGAGCCCCCTGCCAATAAGTACACCCCGCACCTATATGCTGAGCGCCGTGTGCACTTCATCCAGCAGGCTAAGGCTGATGGTATGAGCTTCAAGGAGGCCCGGGAGGCGTGGAATGAGTCCGACTCGAAGAGGGCCATGCTTGCAACTGTGTCGCTGCCGGAGCTCAAGAGACGGCGATTTGTTGAGAAGGGATGCACTGTGAATCCTTTCTGTCTTGCTCGAGCTGGCGCCTAGATACCAATCGGTCCAGCTAGATAATTTGTAGGCAGCCGGCTGCCGTGAAATTCACAATTAGGTTTGCGTGTGTCGAATTATTCATACGCTGAGCGCATGCACATGCACAGGACGCCGTGAATCGATCACAAAACGAGTGTATGTGTGAGGTATGCTCCTCAGGCATCTCTGCTATGCCGTTGCATGATGTGCTGGCAGCTCTGTGTGTGCATGTACATGTCAGGAAACAAATGAATGTTGTTAGGCTAGCTGTGCTCGAGATCGAAAGCCTAGGCTGCTTTAGGGACTTTGGGGTTTCGACGGGATGGTGGTGGCTGAAATGCTCGCTGCAGAAGCCCCTCCCATTTTCATACTTCTGGTCTTGCTGCTCACCTTCAACAAGTGTATCAATCTGAAGCAGGACTGGCAAACACGGTGCAATCACTCGTTTGCTAAAGGAGCGAAAAGCCTAAACCCCGAACCTAAGTCTAGTTCAATAGCCTTAAATAATAGCCCCTACAATCTTAAACCCTATACCAGCCCTGTATGTATGTATGTATGTATGTATGTATGTATGTATGTATGTATGTATGTATGTCTGTATGTATGTATGTATGTATGTATGTATGTATGTATGTATGTATGTATGTATGTATATGTATGCA